AAAGGACAGAGATCGACTCCAAGATCGAGTGGTTCTCTCGATCATATCCGGGCATCGTGTCTTCGGCTCGATCTGGGTCTCGATCTTCATCGGCGAATCGAGTGTTGCATCCGATCTCGGTATCAATCTTCGGCTGGATCGAGTGGTGTACTCGATCTGTCTCTCGCTCTGCATGGCATCATTTACGTCCGTACCGATTGATCGATTGCTCCACTCGATCTCCGTCTCAATCATTCTCCTTGGATCGCCTAGTTGGCTCGATCTTCTGGTCGATCAACTCCCAGATCGACCGGCCATGCTCGATCTGCTCCTCGATCTCTGGCCCTTAGCATATTTCCGAGCTCCCACGAACTGCTACATCAGCCTCAACACGTCCACGAACCTCCACGACTCCAAAGCAGCCAGAAACAACCTGAATGTGATGCAAAATGCAAGGAAAATGCGTATGCTGATGCAAAAATGCTCTAGGACCCTAAGTGATGCAATCTAACCTAAAACATGATACAAATGCATGAAAAGCTAACTAATGAGTATGCAAAATGTATGCAATATGCAATAACATCAAGAAGGAAGAAAGTGAAAAGGGGAAAGGAATGAAGATGGGAATGCAAACAAAAGCTCAGCATGTGTGGAACCAAATAAGCTCAAAAAGGGTGGTCATTATGAAGATAGAGTCTCAGCAAGAACAAAGAAGGCATCAAAGCCTAAATACATCAAAAGGATGAGGAAATGGAGACTCCCAAAATCCAAGAAAATGCACCCACAACAAAGGAGCACAAAGAAGGCCACAACATGATGAGATCAAAGAAGAAGCTTTCCTGAAAATGGCATAGTGTGGAGAGTGTGAGAGTGTTGAGAAAAGGTAGTTAGGATTGGGTCTGATTTGGCATAAGAGTTTTGGGGTTTAGAACATTCGTAGGCATTGGGTAGATAGTAATTTATCCTTGTATGCATAAGTTGTGCTTAACCTTTAGCATTATGCCCAAGTTCATTCTTTTTTTAGAGAAACCCTTACATTTGAACCCACATTTTTAATGAGATCATTTTTATCTCATGACCTTAACCCTTATCCAAATGATTCCACTTGACTTGCTTGAACATGATTCACTTGGTTACAAAGTTTAAATGGATTTAAAAGGGATTGATTGATTTGAGCATTTGACTAGGCTGAGCTAGAGATCATTTTGAAACTGGAAAGGCATGGCTAAGTTCTTATTAGTATGAATGATTGTGTTTTGCATCCTACATTTAAGCACTTAGACATTGACTTCACTTCTTTGCCTTAGTATTTTTGGATTTGAGTGCCCACCTTCAAACCTCACTTCCTCCTTGTCTTAGTTTTTTTGCTTGAGGACAAGCAAAAGTCAAGTGTGGGGGTGTTTATATCTCCATTATTTATACCATTTTTAGCTTGCATTCATCACTAGTTTTAGTCCTTAAACATGCATATTTTGCTTCTTCTTGTCCCATTTGCATACATTTAGGAGTTAGTGTAGATTTAGGAGCTGCATTGCATTTTGCATGCATTTAGAGTTTTATTCAGGTACTAGAAGGAGTGTGGAGATCATGTGGTGCAATGGGTGTGAGCTGGGAATGGAGCAAGGCAAAGAACAAAAGCGGATAGACCAATATCGACATCATCTGATCGATACGGAGCATATCGATGGGAGTATCGACCACTTCAGCATCGATACAGTTAAGGCGTGGTGTGAAGGAAACATATCGACTTAGACACCTCGATGCAGCAGAATGGAGTCCATATCGAGCAATGTATCGACGTCTCAGACCGATACACATGACAGGGCAATACCGAGGTGCCATATCGACTTGCTTGATCGATGAGCCTTAACTAAAGGGCGATTGTATCTACTTCACACCATGAAGAGCCAAACCGATACAACATGGGAGCCTTCTGTATCGATGTGCATATCGACCAAGAGACATTGATACAACCCAGAAGAAGAGATGATATCGACATGTGTATCGATGTTCACAGCCGATATGGTCTGTCCGAGTCAGCTTATTTTCGGTTTAATCTTGGTTCTAGTTCCCTTATAAATACTAATCCTAAAATGGTTAGGCAACTTGGATCTTAATATTTTTCTTCTGTTCTTGCACTTAAAACCTTTCCTTTTTCAGCTTTGCTTTGTAAGAACTAGTTTGACTTAGTGAATTTCTGTATTTGCCTTTGATCAATTCTAGTTTATTCTGCGTCCTAATCATGCTTAACCATCTTTTCTCTATGGAATTTGTGGTTTTGATTATGGCTAGTGAGTAGACTTATTTAGGGTTTGAGATGGGATAGATCTGAGGGGTTTTAGGACTAGATTAGTGATGTCTTCTCTCTATTAGATGTGCTTAACACTAGATTAGTCTTGGCCAGGCTTATTTAGTATATTGGCTTTCTCTTGCGCCTGGTAAGTGTTTGATGAAATGCTGCTTAGAGTCTCTTATAGGATTTGTATGCTTAGCCTAAGGAATTAGATGTCTAAGGTGCATTTTGGCTTTATAGGATTGGAGTTCTGCTCTGAATGCTTACTGATCATGTGTTTGAGTAAAGGGATTTATCTTTAGTGTGTGCTTAGTAAAGTGATTAGTGTCAAGGAATTGACCATGAAGAGCCAAACCGATACAACATGGGAGCCTTCTGTATCGATGTGCATATCGACCAAGAGACATTGATACAACCCAGAAGAAGAGATGATATCGACATGTGTATCGATGTTCACAGCCGATATGGTCTGTCCGAGTCAGCTTATTTTCGGTTTAATCTTGGTTCTAGTTCCCCTATAAATACTAATCCTAAAATGGTTAGGCAACTTGGATCTTAATATTTTTCTTCTGTTCTTGCACTTAAAACCTTTCCTTTTTCAACTTTGCTTTGTAAGAACTAGTTTGATTTAGTGAATTTCTGTATTTGCCTTTGATCTATTCTAGTTTATTCTGCGTCCTAATCATGCTTAACCATCTTTTCTCTATGGAATTTGTGGTTTTGATTATGGCTAGTGAGTAGACTTATTTAGGGTTTGAGATGGGATAGATCTGAGGGGTTTTAGGACTAGATTAGTGATGTCTTGTGCTTAATATGATTGTCTTCTCTCTATTAGATGTGCTTAACACTAGATTAGTCTTGGCCAGGCTTGTTTAGTATATTGGCTTTCTCTTGCGCCTGGTAAGTGTTTGATGAAATGCTGCTTAGAGTCTCTTATAGGATTTGTATGCTTAGCCTAAGGAATTAGATGTCTAAGGTGCATTTTGGCTTTATAGGATTGGGGTTCTGCTCTGAAATGCTTACTGATCATGTGTTCGAGTAAAGGGATTTATCTTTAGTGTGTGCTTAGTAAAGTGATTAGTGTCAAGGAATTGAGCTAGTTATAGTTGTTAATCTTATGCCTAGAAGATAGCATTGTCTGAATGGTTTTGAAGCATCACTAGTTAGGTTCTAATCCCCTCTTAATCAATAACCCCCATCTTCGATCCTTACTTCATTTGTTTGAATTTCATGCTTTGCTTAGTTCAGTTTTTAGACTTGTTTAGTTTTGTTCACAACTGCCTTCTTGAATCTAGCTTGACTTAAATGATTTGCTGTATTCTTGGTGCCTTAAGAACTCATATGAATTGATACCTTTCTTTGCTACTCTTAGATGAGAAACGAGAGGCTGAGAAAGAGGGAAAGATACCAACGGTCTCAAAAATGATTTTTCTTTATCTATTGCTTGTATTGATCCTGAGCCGTTGATTCATCCGAGAAGGCTAAACAAAAATATATAATCCGACGGTTGAGCATGAGAGAAACTTTATTAACTCGGAAAATAATTTAACTGAAAATAAAATGGAGGTGCGGGGAATCGAACTCCGTGCCTCTCGCATGCGAAGCGAGCGCTCTACCACATGCTGCAATGACAAGAGTGTGTTAGAATTTGCTTAGCTAGTAATTTCCTGCTATCAGTTGACAGAAGAGGCTGGACAGTAGTGGTGATTGCACCAAGAAGAACGATGTAGATCAGCTTGTCTTGACGTTTCCAGAGCATGTAATCTGTGTTTTGAACCACAACATTGGTGTTTATGATTGTAGGTAGTGGGACAATGACAGATCCGTCAATATATCCAGCAAGATCATACCCATCAAGTAGACCGTGAACTTGGCGGCTCTACATGATAAAGTTGGAACCATTTAGTATAGTGACATTTGACATGTTCACGTTGAGAAAAGTAGTAGTATCAGAGACAGTAATGGTCTTGTTGGAGTTTGCCGGAGAAGAGGAAGCCATGATGATGATATGTGTGTTCGAGATTTGAAAAAGAAAAGTAATGATTAGTACATTAGAAACTCTATAAATTAATATTCCATAAATTAATAAATTTGATAAATCAATAATTTTACACGGTTCCGAGTTGGGTTGATTCCAAATTTAATATAAATTAATAAATTAATAAGATAATAACTTTTATTAAAAATCTATGTAAAATATAGTTCCATTAATATTATAAATTAATAAATATCATATAAAATAATTTTATATAAATATATAATTATGATGATCAATTAAAATATGAGTATATTGTTATTTTCATATTAAAATTGAAATATTTTTTTATCATTTATCTATAATTTTATAATAAAAATTTTGAAGAATATTATAAATTTTAAAGAAAATATTATTTTTAATTAATTATTAATAAACAATTTGTTTTATTTAAAACTGATAAATTAATAACTTTATAAATTAATAAAATATCAAAATCTCAATATTATTAATTTATAAAGTTTATACTGTATATTAAATCTAGATATCGGAAAGATCTAACACTATCTAGGATTAAAAGATTGATTGAGGTTTTATTAGAGCAGCAGATTTACAATATATAAACTGTACAATAGAAGTTTAGGTTATAAGTAATGACAATTATATCATTTCTATATCTATTGTTTACATGGCTCAATGAATAATGTTTTCGAAAAAAAGAAATCTGAGAGTAACTAAGTTAAACTACGTTAAGCCATCACAATTATTAAAACACTTAATATATTATAAACAAAAAAATTAGAGAAAAAACGATTTTTTTTTAAAGTGAAATTCAAATGAAGGGATCTTTGAGGAAGTCTCCAACCCGCCAACGATATGACACATTACAAAACGGGTAAAACAAATAAAAGCTATATGTAGCAAACTGATGTAGGGGAGTTCAAATCATGAATTGTAAACGAAGAATGCAACAAAAGGATGTTATTATATGGCTAACACTTTTGGATCTCTGCATGCTGTCTCTTAAGGCCCGAGACGGCTAACACTTTTGGACCTCTGCATGCGGTCTTTTATGGCCCGAGACGATAAGGTCCATCGGCCATATAATGACCATCCATGTATAGAGCTGCGTGCTGCGGGTGCTGCAGACCATCCATCACCATGAACTGCATGTCTTCAGACGGTTTCCAGTGACGTTTTCTTTGATTTATGAACCAATTGTTGATTTGTTTCTGATCTAACCCCGTTGATTCCGCCAATGCCACCTTCTCTGACTCCTGCCACACAACTCAAACCAGCCATCATAACTTTCGTAGTATTCAACGGTTAAGAATAGGCTAGCTAGATGATCATCTAAAAACGATTCTGGACGATAGAAGAATATTATGTATACATAAATTAGTCACATAGGCTCAGAGGCTTAAAGGTAAACTTTTAAAAATAGACCCACGTAATGGAGTACAAAAGAAAAGAAACTCTAAACATTTTCTTTTTTGTGTGTGCGTGTGTGCAAACAGCCAAACACTCATAAAATTGTCTAAAAGTGTATAAATTAGTGATTATGAAAATCGATTGTATAGAAACTAAAAACACAATGTTTCTTCTTTTTTCCGATGAAACCGTTCACCAAACTCACATAACCAAGTTTTCTAACCATCACCTTCTATATAGCCAAACCATTCAACTTCTTTTATGAGAAAATTGTTTTCATTGCCAGGCACTTCTTATACAAAGAGTCCTAACACATAATATGAAACTAAATACATAAACCAAATTTTGAACAAAATGTGACCCTCTAATCTTCCGTTTTATTGTCGCCATAGACAATTGCCTTTGTTCCATAACATGAAGTATCTGTTAGTCACGACGAAGTAGATATCAAATCATTTTTTTGTCAACTATTCTTATATCTTCTTTACAACATGTGATTTACATTTAAAACTACTAAAGATATTTTTCAGTATCACTACAATCGGTTAGCTTTTTCAAAATTCTTTGAAGTTGATGAAATTACAAATTTTATTTATTTCAAACCATATTTTATTAATTTTTACCTATACAAGCTTAAATTTTATAAGTTATTCAACAAAGAAAAACGAATATTTATTCAACAAAGAAAAACGAATATTTATCTTATAATTAAATATAATATTAGTAATTGATGGGTATACAGAGGGTTTTTGGTATATGTATGTTTTAAAATATAGCTTGCACAAGGGTTAGAACCCCTAATCAGCTGCTTAGGATAAAATTGGGGCAATTAGGATATTTCTAGCTTAAAGTGTGTTTTCAATACTGGTTGTATTGTAATAAAAAAAATTATATATATATATATATATATATATATATTGAGGGCAAAGAGAGATTAGAGTAAATTTATACGTACAGAAGGGTACGGCCACTTGTAATGCAACTCCCACCACGTAAGAAGCTTCTGTCTTGCTTCTTTGGGAAGTTTGCCTTTCTTTTTTTTCTTGGACAGTTCTTGCTTTAGACTGCTCAAGTATCCACTGTACTTCTTCAGCAAGTGATTTTTGAGTTCTCGATCTTCCGCCCTCGGGTCTATTTCCGGTAATTCTGTTTCCCCTCCACTGTTGTTCTCTTGCTCTTCGTCTGATGATCCCACACCCTCACTCTTCCCATCTGTTTCAACATTTTATGTTTTCATTACTTTCATAATTTGGTCATTTAAGAGCATTTTAGTAATTGTCTTTAGTGAAAAGATGATCCGAGTAGAAAAATTGATGATTTTGCGTAATGGAATTGAATACATAGCTATTTGCATTTTTTATAATAAACAACAAAAGGTGCTAGTGATAATACTTCGAACCAGGTTAAAAGAAAGATACCAAAATAAGCCCCCACTCTCTTTGGATGGATTCCACAATGGGGAAAACAAGAACAAATATGCACATCTCTTTGCATCTTACATATTTCCAACAATAATGCATCCCCATGATTTTAATTAGTTATTATATATAATCAAATTAAGATATACCAAGATTAAAATATATCTCTACAATGAGACAGGCCAATTTTATGCAATCCATCATTCCTGCTATGCCACTACACTTTATTTGCTACAATTAATGGTCACATGTGTGTATGTGTATATACGTATGTATGTAAATATTTATGAGTTTGATGACATGTACCAGGATTGTTGAGGATGTGAATGGGACCCTGACACAACATGCTAAGCTGAGATTCAATACGACGTATAAACTCCATTGCTTCTTGAATGGGCCGTGTTAGCTCTTCTCGATACTTAACCAACATGTCACAGTATGCTTCCTGTTGATTTAATTTACCATACAAAATAATATTTAAGACTTAACACATATACTTAAAGAACCAACCAAATCAAAATTCAATTGTCTAACTAATTTAACCATGAATTGATCTAGTTCCGGGTCCCTGGACGAAGCAGTCACGGACGCTGTTGACCGCTGTTGCCGTGCATCGAAATCTTGCCGTGCCGCAGTAATTCTATCGATCACCTCAGGTGGTGCTCCAATCTGTATAGCCATGACCCATGAACATATATTTATTTTATATATATAGACCCTAAAGAAGTATATATTTATTATAAAAAGAATAAACGAAACTAGGATATACGGTGCTAAATCTATAAAAAAAACCTTTTGGCAGTCCAAGTAAGCTTGTAGGAGGGTAGAGTAGTGTGGATGAGCGATGATCTTAGCCTTCATGGCTTCCACATCGTTGTTGTTGTTAGCTTCTTGCGTATTGTGGATGGCTTTCATCAACATAGAGTAGTGATTAATCCTTGAAGAGCTTGCTTCAGATTTAACAGATGGGTGGGTGGGCTGATCATGATCGGATCGGAAGCAATTCTCGGTCGCTTGAGGAAGAAGAGAGCTCATATTTGGAAACAACATGTGTTGATGATGTTGTTGATGATTGTTGTTATTAGTATTATTGTAACCAGGAACATAATTGTTATTATTGTTGTCATTGTTGGTGTTACCGTTTTTGTTGGAAGAAGAGATTGGAGAGTACAAGAAACTTACTCTATGAGGAGTGGAGCTGCTTTCATGTTGGTATTCTTCCATACCCAGATGAGTAAAATATCTGAGAGAGAGAGAGAAAGAGAGAATATAAAAAACAAAAAAATTGAAATAAAAAAAAATAAAACCCTAGAAAATAAAAGGGATGGGTGCAAGATGAAGGGATGTATGTATTCTTGCTTTTGTTCTTATTTGAATCAAAGGTCTATGTTAGACTACAACCACATCAAATCCAGATGAATAGACGACTCATATCTGCTACTCAAAAGGCCTATTAAAAAAAACATTTGTGAGGTGAAGTTGCACCCAACAAAAACCAAATAAATTGAAAACGAAATATATGAGGTAGAAAAAACGAACTAGGTATATGGAATTCGTCAAAGAAGTGACATGGAAGAGAAGAAATTAGAAAAAGGTGTGTGAGAGAAATAGAGGTGAGAGAGAAATTAACAATAATGAAGAAGTTGGGTGGCTTGAGTGGATGGATTGACAAGACGTCGTTTGCTTTGAGAGCAAAAAGAAATATTTGAAAATTAAAATAAAGGTAAGAGAGAAGGGACAAGAGATAAGGCAAAGGCTTCTCTTTTTTCATTTCTCCTGTTTCCCTTTCATAGGCTTATTTTACATATTAAATAAGTAAGTATATATTTTACTAAATTATTATGTTGTTATGTACCCGTCCATGTTTAAGCTACTAGGTCGCGCGGCTATATTCAGCTATCACTTTGCTAGGTTAAATGATATACTTTGTATTGTACTCGAAATTTGATGTGTTGATACTGGTAACAGTGGTAAGCAATTAAAAAAATGAATTTTAACGTTTTTGGAAGATGATCAAATGGGTGGAAAGAGACTCTTGTATATTCGTAATCGTATAAAAGATTTTGCACACGAAACCGAGAAAATAAAGAAAGAAATGGAAATATAAATAAGCTTTACTGGATATTAAAAGAAATTTTATTAATTCCAACTATTGGCTCTATGATAAGACCATGCTACACACACTTCTTTCAACCCTTGTTCTGTTCCACGGTCAACATTCAATTTTATATTCATTCAGTTTTTATATATATTACTCTGTTTCATGATTAGTGAAACGTATAGAATGCCTAATTGCCTATGAAAACTATTTCATTTAAGAAGAAAGAAACAAAAAATCCTAGTGCTCTATAATAAAACATTTGCTCCTCGAAACAATTTTTTGTTACATCAGCTCCAATAGACTGGAACTTATACAATGAGAGTTTATTGCAATGTATTGAAACCCAATTGGAAGAGCAAACCGAAATATCTATTACTAGGTTTTTGGGTTTATTTGAGTTAATTTGGGTCAATAGTAGATCAATTGATTAATAAAGTTTTATATAAATATATATTATATAGTTAAAAAACAAATATATATATAAGAAAACATCGAGACCATATTTAACAAAACATAAAATGTCCAATAATAATAATAAAATATTAAAATAATTAAATAATTTAAATTCAAATTTAATCAAAGTTCAAATTTTAATTTAAAAAGTAAAATTGCTGATTCAACCACAAATTTTCTTGTCTTTATTTTTTTATTTGAAACTGAAATTTTTCTGTAAAAAATATATATAGATATATGTATGTATATATAATTGTAATTCTCAATATTAAAATTTTTAAATTTGCTAAACATGTATATAGTAATAAAATCTTCTACATAATTTTTTTATAATTATTTGTAATGATAAATATAAACATTAAAAAAGAAATAAATATTGTTGAAATCGAGTTTTTAAAAGCTAATCACATGATTCCATGTCAGCAAATAAATTTATTTAAGATCTCTCGAATTTATTCTGGTAGGCCGCAGGCGAAACGTTACAGACACTCCAAATCATTACATGAGTTTGGTGCTAAGACGGTTGACTAAGTCTTTAGGATGTAAGCGGTCGACTAACTCTCTAGGATGTAAGCCTATTTGACAGGATATGTGGAACCAATATAAAACAAACCAGAAACAGTATAAATCAGACTTCATGGCTCACATGAAGAAAGAGGTCACAGAGATGAACAGTGAAAGATAGAAAAAAATGGACTTCACGAGGATAAGAGGAGAAACGGTCGATGAGCCTTTAAAGGATATCTTCTTGACCAAGTCCTCTCCATCAAGATGTTTAAGAGCTCTTACATGACGTTCTCGACTAAACACAACCATCCCCGGACATGGTCTCGCTGACTACCCTAAAGCATGTGCCTAAAAATTTATATTCAACTTCTTCCCGTCTTATTTGTCAAGAGTGAGTTACAATCCCACTCTTGTGTCAGATTATTGCCTCTTTTATCGTCACTAAAAAGCAAATGAGTATTACGATCCTCGGACGTAATTCTCCACCTCCTAACTCATCTAAAATCTACCCACGTGAGTATTTCTTTTCGGTAGAACACATTTAACTTGAGTGTTAGAAAATTTTTGGGAGGAAAATGCCTTTCATAGTTTCCTCGAGGTCGGCTCACCGCATGGTAGATGATCTCAGGTTCCAGACGGCGGGCATAACCAGCTGCTCGAACACTATTTATCCTCTAGTGGACGAATCCGTGAGATGTAGTTCCCTCAAGATGATGAACACGCTCCCCCCCCCCCCCCCTCCCCCTCCCCCCTCCCCATGTAAGTGTCCTGCAAAATGCTATCGAACAATTGGCTCTACAAAGAGAGGAAAAGACAAGCGCCCAATATAAAGAAGATTAAGAAGTACAAAAGACAAATGAACTGAAAGAGTTATAAATAGTACCGACCACCAAAAGATAGACCTAGAACTCGGCCACAACGTTCGAAAGCAGGTAGCAGTCAAAACGTTAAAAACCTCAACATATAATCCTGGTGTCCCGCGGTGGAGTCCACAAGCACAAGCGTCCGACACACGGGACCATCCAAAGGCCGGGTCAGAAGGATTATCCTACGAGTCGTCCCCGTTTCTAGAAGTACCACTCAAATGGCATTCCCCACGAAAGACCAAAGCTTCGGTTCCAACTGGAACGTGTTGTCAAAGAGAGCCACATAGAGACATCAGGATGATAACTGTCACCCGAATCCGTGGTGTATCCCAGAAGTTGGCTCTCGACAGCCTCCCACGCGAGCCGCTTTTGTTCGAAAAATAAAAATAGCCTGTCAACTAGGTCAGAACACTCCAACAAAGTGAGATGTTATAACGTTTCGAGGTCACCCCGGGCATACTATGTCTGGCAAGATCAAGTCAGGCTTATAACACAAGGAATATTAATGTCACACAAAAATATCCAACTAAAGAAGGACGGACCCTACCCTAGAATGAGGAACCATAACAACAAAGGGCCTTGGAAGTACCTTCATGGTCTGGAGGTCCCAAAGCCAAGCCAAAAACCAGCTCTTGCCTTGGAAAACCGCCCTCCTTCTCCCCCCCCCCCCCCCCCCCCCCCCCCCCCCCCCCCCCCTCCCCCTCCAGAGGTGGGATAATGACAGCAGCCACAACGTGAGGATATATCCGCCCATCCGAACAATGGTCGTCTAGTTGTCGAGCATATAGCTAAGACCTCCACCAATTTTGATGGCCTAACAAAACAAATGACGAGCTAGCAACCGACCTAAGGTTACCTGGTAGTGTTTGAGTTTTGGAAAGTAAGCCTAATCATTGATCGAAACAAAGGGACGTATGATGAGTTAAAAAGTTCTCTTTATTCACTTTAAGCAAGTCCGCATGGCGCAAATAACTGTTTGGCTGAACAAATCGCCAATCAAGAAAAGCAATGGTATGACCAGTAAATCCCAATCCACAGGTCCGCATTACCCTTGTATTTCGTGTGCATTTTATTTGCTTGCTTGCCTACATTACACTTCTAGGGATATATTTTATGTGCATTCCCCTGAGGATTCTTGTTTCTTTGCTTGTTTGAATGCATTACCCTTCCGAGGACATATTTTGTATGCATTCCCCTCATAGTTATTGTTTCTTTGCTTACTTTCTTGTGTTACCCTTCTGGTTACATATTGCGTATGCATGACCCCTCGAGGTTCTTGTTTCTTTGTTTGTCTGCCTACATTATCCTTTCGGAGACATATTTCGTGTACATTCCCCGTGGAGTTCTTGTTCTTTTTCTTGCTTGCCTGCATTACAATTCATGGAGTATATTTCGTGAGCATTTCCTCAGGGTTTTTATTTCTTTGCATGCTTACCTGCATTACTCTTCTAGGGATATATCTCATATGCATTCCCCTCGGGGTTTCGTGTTTTTTTTGTTTGCTTGCCTCCATTACCCTTTCAGGATCTATTTTGTTTGTATTCCTCTCAAGGTTCTTGTTTTTATACTTGCTTGCCTGCATTACCCTTTCGGAGACATATTTTGTGTGTTTTTTCCTCGATGTTCTTGTTTATTTGCTTGCTTGCCAGCATTACCCTTCAGGTGACATATTTGTGTGCATTCCCCTTGGGGTTTTTTTTTTTGGCTTGCTTACTTACAATACCCTTCTTGGGACATATTTCATTTGCATTATCCTCTGTTTCTTGTTTCTTTACTTGCTTGTATGCATTGCCAATCTGGGGATATATTTCGTGTTCATTGTCTTCAAATTCTTCTTTCTGTGCTTACTTACCTGCATTACTCTTTTGGGGACATATTTTGTGTGCATTCTCCTGAGGGTTCTTGTTTCTTTTCTTGTTTGCATGCATTACCCTTCTGGGGACATATTTTGTGTGCATTCCCCTCGGAGTTCTTGTTTCTTTACTTACTTGTATGTGTTACCCTTCTGGTTACATATTTGTATGCATGACCCCTCGAGGTTCTTGTTTCTTTGTTTGCTTGCCTACATTATCCTTTCACGGACACATTTTGTGTGCATTCTTTGTGGGGTTCTTGTTCTTTTGCTTGCTTGCATGCATTACAATTCATGGAATATATTTTGTGTGCATTCCCTCAGTGTTCTTGTTTCTTTGCTTGCTTGCCTGCATTACCCTTCTAGGGACATATTTCGTATGTATTCCCCTTGGGGTTTTGTATTTCTTTGCTTCTTTGCCTACATTACCCTTTCGAGATATATATCATGTATTTTCCTCTTAGATTTCTTGTTTCTTTGCTTGTTTGCCTGCATTACCCTTCCAGGAACATATTTCATGTGCAATCCCCTTGGGGTTATTGTTTCCTTACTAACCTGCATTTCCCTTCGGGAGACATATATCGTGTGCATTCCCCTTGGGTTTTGATTATTTGCTTACTTGCCTGCATTTCCCTTCCGGGGATATATTTCGTGTGCATTCTCTTTTGTGTTCTTTTTTCTTTACTTACTTGCCTCCATTATCTTTACGGGGATTTATTTCGTGTGCATTCCCCTTGGGGTTCTTTGCTTGATTGTCTGCATTAACCTTTCATGACATATATTGTGTGCATATCCCTCGGGGTTCTTGTTTCTTTGCTTGCCTGCATTACCCTCTTGAGGACATATTTTATATGCATTCCACTCGGG